GCACACAATATTGGAGATTTATGAAGGAGTCTGCCCTGACTGCATCTCCAAAAATCCTTTACGGTCTAAGAGCTCCTTCTATCGAGCTGTATTGGGTGGGATCCCACTTGCACAGTGGATTTTACATAGGGAAGTGGCAACTGCAACCTTCTTGCGCTGCTTGAAGGAGGAGTTTCACCCTTCCATCGGGGGACAGGACTGTATGACCGCTCTGAGGTGTAGCACATACTCGTAAATAATTTCTTTACGCAACCACTGACGAAACCCACGCTGCCACTATGCCTGCTTCAGAAACTGAGAGCATTTCTGAAGATGTCACTCGAAAGCCAGTAGGGGCATGAATTTTAATGAATATATCAGGTTACTCACTTGAGATATTCTCAGCGATGGGATAACCTAACATTTGGAAGAGCTAGCAAGAGCTAAAAATAAGGAGGAAGAGTCACCATTCAAGATCAAACTGTGGAAAAAGCACAGCACATAATTTCTGTCCTGTAATAGTGTAAGTATTCAAAAAGAATGTTCTTGGGTTAAATTATTTCTTCAGATGGAGGTCCAAGTCAGTATTTCCCCATAGCAAGTATCATTTTGTCAAGGGTAAGTAGTCAAAGATCTTTCTCCCCCAGCCAGACTGAGAACATCTGGAAAGACTGTCTTCAAACAAATATCAACAATGGAAAAAGAAGCTAAAATGAAGGGGACTGTCTTTTGATTCACGTGAATGTGATGCTGCAGTTCTAGAGGGGTACAGTTTTCCAGAGCAGTTTGCAAATATGCAATAGGCCTGGAGAAACTCCAGGGGCAACTGGATGGAGAAGATCTTGCAAGACTGCTTGAAATGAAACTGTGAAGACTGCTGAAAGTGAATCAAAACCTGACAAGTGCCAAAATTGCTTCTGATCCGGGCTGAGGACGCTGGGCATGCAGCCTGCAGGAAGGACAAGCCATGCCGACTGATGTATCACAGAAATTCTATCTTCATGAACACAGCTACAGAGGGGATGTCATCAAGAACTGCATGAGAAGGGATGACTAGTTTAAGGTGATAGCAGTATGAAGTCATTCTCCAGCCTAATGCAAAAACTTCATACCCAGGTGTAGCATCCAATTACTGTGTTGTGAAATGAACTCTGGACAATCAAAGCTAAGTAAGCAACTGAAGAGAAAACTGAAAAAGCTATCTTGGCTCAAACTAATGCTACAAGAGTGTCTGTGACTCAGTCATCCTGAATTGATAGGAACCAGCAAAAAAGTTTCTAAGCTGATCTCTCTTGCAGTGGAATCAAGTAAGTTTAAGGGATGAAAGTCAGATGCATTTCCAAATGTGTGGATAAATATTTTTTTTACTGTAGCCCTTTTTGGGAGTTTAAAATATTCATTTTCTCTGCCCCTAAGTTTCAGACATACAGTTCCAAAGTAGCTATCTGAAAAGCATGACTCCAAGATAGTTAAACAGTAGCTCACAGATCTCAACCTGCAACCTTCTACAAAGTTCATTGCCACTCCACCACCAGCAGATCCCACAGCTCTGCTTCTCCTACAGCCAGCTAGCATTAAAATAAGTCTAGTAAGTTTTAAATAGTAGTATTCTATGGAAATGGATGAGGTGGATACCATCTGTAAAAATATTTTAAAATGAATCCCAATCTAAATGAAATCTTATATAACCTAACATTTTACATGTTGTACCCAAGACTTAACATTTCTGGTAATTTTTATGCTGCAGAATTGCATAGGTCTTCAACTGTACTGAGGCTGCAGAACTCAAGCTCACTCAAACACAGCTTGCAGTTTTTATGCTAACCTTTCAAATCTAAGTCAAATTTAAGCATCGCACTAGAAGTGGAGAAGTGCAGAATGTTTTGTGACTTCTTTGCAGATTTAAAGAACAAATCTGCTCAATTTGATTACTGGTCACTTCTAAAGGATACATAGTAGATGGGCAGGTCCCAACAGCTACAGAAGGGAAAACTGAGGACCTTACTTTCTACTTTTTCCTCATTCTCAAAAGGTGCGGAAAAATTACTTGAAATCTGAGGTAAACATGCTGCTCTCCTGCTCCCACTATGAGAAATACTTGTCAGTGGGTATGGCATCACAAGGAAAGCACCTCATTGTCCAGTTCATGCACTTTGCTACACAATTTCTCAGAGTTGTTGATTTTGAACGCAGTATTCTCAATTACAACACTCTCTGTATTCTCACCTTAGCTTTCTGACAGGGCTTTTCTGAATAGTTTATACAAAACTTCACAACACAAGATCTGGTAGACAAGGGTGTTGAAAACCAGTCCGCTTCCGTAGTTTGCACTCATTTTCTCTTCCAGTGTTGCCTTAAGAATATATGCTGCCTCAGTAACAAATGTACGGGAAGAAAAATATTCATGGCACCCACCCATTTGAGCTCACATTTTCAATCACACGTCCTTAACAATTCAGTGAACATCCTTTTCTGTGACTACTACTGTAATATTTACAGCATTTGGACTCTCAGACTTTCCTAAAACATACTGTCTCAGTACTGTAAGTTTTTAATTGAAGAGACCAGGCTTACTATAAAATGGAGTTATCTCTACATTTGTTTCACTTTATTTCTACACGTAGAGGGCTACAGATCTAACAGAAGAAGAGAAAAACCACAACACAGGTGTGGATGATCATTCAGTATCACCCTTTCTACATTTAAAGAAAATTATTCAGAAACTTGTATCTGGGGAGGTGAAAATCATCATCTCAAGAAAGCAGTAATTTACTGAAGTTCAAGCCTTTACTCTGGATACTCCTTTGGCTGGCATGAGAAATCACATTAGTTTGCCAGTACTATGAATTCAGCTATGAACTGGTCAATAAAAGTTATCACACTACTCATGGCAGTGTCATTTAAAGAAATCACAGATGGTACATAGGCTATCAGCAATTTTATTGAAGTACTCTTCTGCTTCAATACAGCTTAACTTAATCAGAGCACATATGTGCTATAAAATTTAGTTCACAGATGTTTACTTCCAGTAATGCAGAACTGAAAACGTCCAACTGATGATAACAGCTTCTAGCAACCTTTGAACCAAACCACAATCTCTGCTTGGCAAGCATGTCAATAATGAGAGGACATTTATTCCCTGATTATTTTACTTCCACGTTATGAAAAATCAAAGCAATGGTAAGGCAGAGAACTATGGTTTTGCTGATAAGACCTCTCTGCTCTCAGATTTCTGACTGAGCCATGGAAGGACTTACAGGACTGTCACCGTGATATACACAGCTGTATTTACAAAAAACTGTAAATGTAGTTTCTCAGGATTGCAGACATTAATCAAGAAACAGGATTATTTGAAATTGTCTGAAGGCAAACATCACAGGTTATCGCACAAGCTCCTGAGGAAATTCTGGCCATCTGAAGTGTTCACAGGAACCACTTCACATCTCACAAAAACAGCATAGCAGAAAGCAGCACACCACTTCAAGACACTACTCAAAAGGAAAAAAATTGTCACTTGTGTCATCATCAGCCCTACTTCTGACTTCTGACAGCAACTCTAGTGTTCCGCTAGTGCTTCCTATGTAAATTGACCCAACTTGGATACGCTGAGCTTGAAATACACTAGGCAGAAAGGCAATAATAAAATTTAAAAAAAAAAATAAAAAAAATAAAAAAAAAAATCAAGAAAGTCAGAGGAGGGGAAGTAGATGCAAGACACGGAGCCGCCAGAGGAAAGTTGTTGACTGGAGGCCTTCCAGCAGGACAGACAGAAAGCCACTGTAATAGAAGCTCAGTTTACATGGTCAAAGGCTAAAAGAGATGTGGTGAAAGCTTAGAAGAGTCAGAGCATGCCCCATTGAGACTGGAGAGCAGGCCACAGCAACGCTGAGCCTCACCAGCCCATGTCCTCCACGCAGGACAATGACCGCTTGGTGTTGGTTGGTGTCATACTCTCTGTTAAGACATGGACAAAGACACCAGCAGTTCTTCTAGTGAAGAATACAGACACAAGTAGGAAGTTCCCCTCTTCCACCCATTCATTCTGGTTTTGAGGGAGTTTTCACATGCATGCCACACAAATATACATGTATCAAGGTAGCAGTCAAGTGGCAAGACAAAGGAGGAAGTTGTCTTAACACAGTCCCCTTAGGGTGATGAAATCACTGAAGCCCAACAGCATGTGCACACATCTTATCCTCTGTAATACTCCCATCTTAAGTGCATAGTACAGATTCAGAGGAAAAACATATTGCTCTCTAGAAATCCTGCTTCCTTTATTGCAGAAGTTGAAGGAGGCGGGGGAGGCTAGGGTGCTGGGAAGTCAGACACCAAATCTTCTAAGCTATGAATTATTCTTCCATGCCTCTAATTTGAGAATCACAGAATATTCACAGCTTACCAAATGAAATCAATCAAGATGTGTTTGGACATAAGTGATAGATGTGTTATGTATTCTGCAACATCAGGTCTTTTTCACTTGAAAAACAAGACTTTTCAGGTGGAAGGTACCTTTGCCCTACATTTCCCAATTCTCCATCTGCAAAAAGGAATGCCCTTTCTCACCTTTCACCTCAAAGAGCTGGAAGGAAGGAAGGAAGAAGAGAAGGCTACATATGTGAAGAATCTGGCACAAAGAAATTTAGTAACGCTGTTTTCAAAGCCAAGTACTAATTGCATGCAACAAAGGAAAAAGACCCAGATTCTTAAAGAATGAAAATCACACATTAATAAATATTGGCTCAGTATGTAAGCACTCTTTCAAAGCACACTGAAAAGTGCAACCCTTTAAGAGGGAAAAAACCCTATATCATTAAAAGACGATATATCATCACTCATGACTGCAAGAGGGGCAAATAAAGATCATCAAGTTCTCAAAAAAGCATGAGGTGTTTTCAAACACGGTTTACATGCAACACCCTGTACAATGGCACAGAATATACGTTGACAAGTTCGTAACAATGCATGTTTTCATGCTGATACCCAAGGAATAACGCAGTCAAAACAACACTTAAATTACATACCTTGATTATTTCCACCAACTGATCCACACCACTGTCACCTGGAAAGATTGGTTGTCCTAGTAACAGTTCAGCCAATACACAGCCTGCTGACCACACATCTAAAAAGGGAAAGTGAACGACAGGGAAAGGTATCAGTAAAAGGTACATATTAGGCCATTTATATAAAAAGCAGCAATCTAAAGCTAGCTACTTCATTCTTTGTCACATTTAATAGCGTATATAACACAGCTAAAAATTAAAAAACCATCCCTCTCCCAAATGTTTATCTAGAAAACACAGATACCCGGCCATAAAGGAATGGTGGGCAGACAGTCTTAGAAGTCAAATCATGAGGCAATGGGAACTGGAAAAGAATGCTGAATGCCAGAATACATTGACAATAAAACTTAAACATGTAGGCAAAAAAACTGAGAACACTTGCCACCTGAAGATTAAGAACTTCCCAAAACCCTGAGTTGTTTTTAAATCACATTGATCATGAACTATGCATAGGTATCACCCACCACAACGACTCATGTTTTCACTCTTTCTGAATGTTAAATGGACTCATTTTTTCGTCCGTATATTGAAAGCATATATACACTAGTAGATGAACCAGTACTCCGAGTATTACTTGTATCCTATCCTGCAGCACATGTTGATTAAGGGATCTGGGAGACAGCCTCTCTAACTCAGCCACATCAAAACCTAATCTTTATCCCAGTTTCAATTGCAAACTTGGCTGGACAGCAGAACTGCAAGTCATAGATCAGGTCAACAGCATCCATTCAAGAAGTCATCAACTGATTTTCATACATATACCAAAAGCCACAAGTAGTCACTAGCAGCTACTCTTCTACATGAAGAAAATTTTCATAACCTATTACAGGTATATCTTCTTACATATAAATAAGTCAATTAAATACTACAACAGCAACTTAAGAATGTATCTAAGTGTACTACAGAATATAGTATTTTATTTTTGAAACACTTAATTTGAATGAAAGATCTAATGAAATAAATGCAGCAAGACCGCATAGCCGATGTTTGGGAGAATCTGCTGTAACTGCACTCCAAATACTGAAGTTTAAGCTGCTCAACACCATAAAATTATTGCACCTAGATGTAGAGATAACTGATTCTCCAAAAAAAATAGACTGACTATAAGGTTTTCTAGAAAGTCATCATTTGTTCAACATATACCTGAAACCTTACACTAAAATCTAACCTCAAACGAGCCATCAGATTTGTAAAGCCTACAGGCCAAAAGAGAAAAGAACAAAACCAGTCACACTCCACCCATCTCCCTTTGAACTCTTGCCTACAAAATTTTAGAGCTAACCTTCCCCCATGAAATAACAGCAGCATCACCACAACTCAAAACCCAGAGAATTTACCTCCTGAGGCCTGTTCCAACCTGAGATAGCTAACTCGCGACAGAGATCCTTATTCTGCTAGGATATTTGAACTATGCCATTGGGAAACAGGATACACACAACACTGTCAGTTGTAGCTATAAGATCTGCGTTAGAGAAATGTCTCAAAGTTCTCTACACAGTCTATTATCACTTTGTCACAATCACTAGATTCTGATGCAAAAAGATAATTAAAAAAAACCTTTAAGAAATTCAAGAATGATAACAAAATAATTTGCATGGTAGAACAGACTTTTCCTTCCCCCATTTCTAAATGAAAGACAGGGGGCCTATGCAAAAATACTCCCCCCTCTTCTCAAGAAAGATATGGTTCAACCGGAACATCTGGTAGACAAAAAGCACTGCTCATTGCTGCAGCTTTCAAAAATCATTCACCTCAAAGTCAAATGGATGCATTTTTTCTTAATGCCTTAGTACAAACATTGCATCAGGGTTTACCCTAAAACGTAACTACTTACAATACAAAAAGCAACCAGAAATAATCTGAAGTTTGAGTTTTGAATTTCAACAAGTAAACATACCAGATCACGCTTTTTGATCTTTCAGTCATATTTAGTAAAAGCTGATATGGCCACCAAGGTGCTAAGATCTCTTTTGGACAGGACAACTGGAGGCATCACGTAAAGAACATTTAATTGCATCTGACTGCTAAACAATGTTTCTCTCTGATAGCTGCTGCTGTTGGACCAACACACACAACAAAAAGATGATGCAAAGAATCACTTTTGATGTCATCCCATGCATATTGGGTTTTAGGAAGTTACACAACAGTTTATCAGATAGCAGAGATTTCTTCAGAAGTACTGAAGAAGCAGATTACATGTATTAAACAGTCAGAGTGCTGTAACATAAAAATCTACTTGAAGGGACCTTTAAAAGGTTTTGAAAAAGCTCAGTCCTTTACACTTACACTGGCAATACAAAACAGGCAGTACCCCAAAGCTATAATTATATACAACTTCAATCCTTATTTTGCACTGAAAAAGAAACAATATGTGTGTGAAGGGAAAGTATTTGACAGAACATACACAAACCCAAACCTGACATAAGAGTAAGTCAGCATTTTCAACTCACTTCCTTCTAAAATTTTGAAGCTATGCTAGCATGATAATTTTTTTTTTTTTAAATTTTTTTTTCCCCAAATTGGACTGTGGCTTTTAAAAACTGTTTTAAATAACATTCTGGTCTGGCTGCTCCATGAAGTTGGCTTTGTGCTGTTTTGTTCTTTCCCACTCTCCCTAAATGCCTTTGCACTCCACCAGCCAATTTCAGACAAGTCTGAACGGCAGACATCTCGAATCCATTACAGAAGTTTAGTAAAAAACAATGGGGAGAGCAATGCACCAGTGTTCCTGCTTAGGAGAGGACGGCTCAGTCCCTGCAGGACATGCTGGGCTTGCTCCCACCCTGCCAAACTGCAGCTGCCACAAGTTGAAGGATGTGCAGGTGCTTTCTCAAGCAAGGCGGCCAAGCAGAAACAGCAGAGGGTACAGGAGAAAGCTGAGGGCATCACAGGGGGAGAGAAGAAAAAACCAAATGATGCAGGTCATGAGGAAATAGCTGGGGAAGTCTGAGGAATACTTGCTGTATTCATGATGGGTTTAATCCACCAAACATACAACAAATCCATCAGAAACCAATGTAGTTGTTCCTCATGCAGTGAAACCTTCCAAATCGGGTGATTTAATGCCTTGTTAAAAGTCTATTTAGTTTTCCTTGATTATCCCTGCTAATGCTTTAAACACACACTGAAATAAGCTAGAGGCACTCCAAAATCTCCAGTTTTTTTTTCCAGGAGTGTAATTTCACTGATTTCCAAATTAGGACTTGGGCAATGTTCCCTGGGCAAGGAAGTGAACAAATCCTTGAAGCATCCTCAAAGAAAGCCAGAGAGCAGAGGCTAGCTTCAGCAGCTCCAAGCAGGGATGGCAACAAAACACAACTGACATAGGTGTTTACACAACTCTGTTGAGCAGTGTACAATGAGGAAGAAACTGGGAAATTTCAGCTCTGCTGAAACTTGATGCAATTTATGCCATCGACTTTAACAGGACTAAAATTTGGCTCCAGAATAGTTTACCTTTGTTTTTCCCATTCAAATCTGGCATTTTAAAATTTATCTTCCAAATTTGGACGGTAACGTTTTTCTCAAGCCTGAAGTAAACAATGTACTAAATTCTGTATTCAAAAACGTTACTTAAGAGAAGTGATAAGGTAGTTAATGTTAGTTTTTGATAGCTCCTTCCAGGACCCTTTTCTGCCTTAGCACTTTCACAGCTAACTGTTATAGGTTAATAATCTTTCAGAGCAACCTTGCAGTGTAACTACCTGCTCCCATGGGAGGAGAAGCATTTTCCGAACTATTTCATTTTAATATGTGCAATTTAATTAAGGCAAAATTAACTATTATTCACATGCTTCAAACTAGTTAATAAACAAGATCAAGAGAGAACCTTAACAGAAAACAAGTCAACAAATCATCCTTATGCCAAACTAGTTGGGACAACGTGACATTTCAGGACAAAATACTGAAAGCTACTAATTTTAAGTAGAAAACAGTGGGCAAGGCTACTTCATATTTTTGGTGAAATGTAGTCTAAACAATATGGACAGTAAATGCAAATGCCAGCCAGAAGCAAGCTTCAGATAAGCTTATTTCAGATAGCTTTCACACATTATAATAGTAGCTAATGCCGTATCTTTTGTAGACTAAAGAACACTTAGACAAATTCCATTATCACGTGAACTACCTGCATTAATTTAAGCACACAAAAAATCATATAGCCTCTTACCCTACAAAACTTTTCTTAAATTACTTTTCTACTACTTTATTGATCTTCACAGTTGTTAGGTGTACACTAACTTGTGTAATAATATCCACTGTATAATTCTCTTGCTTTTGAATGCCATTCCAGCACTAGAGAATGTAAGAAAACGAAAATTTCTCTTTAGTTCAGGAAGGGGCATCCAGCAGGACAACCTGCAAAATACACTCCTTTGCTATAATTCTACAAGTGGGCAATGGTCATTTCCAGTTGTCTGTGACAGAATACCCTGTCCATAAATTTCATTTTTGTGATCTCAAACTCTGCCTTTCCAAGCTGAGAAGCTGGCCCTCTTCACAGCATGAGCACCATTCATCGTTGGCTCCTCTAACTTGTTATTTGGAGGACATGAAGGGGGAGGGGGACCCCCCCCCCCCCCAAAATAAAGGTAGAGCCTGCTCCTGTTCACTTAATGAAAAGTTCTTAATTTGTACTATCTAACACTTTGAGGCACATTTACAGTTCTGTGGTTGGTTTTTCCCCCTCCCCATCTATTAATCTCTGCCTCACTATCCCTTGATCTTGACGGACTTCCTCCGTCTTGGAGGTGACTCAGAGTTGCTGCTCTGGAACCTGCGGAAACAAATTAGCAGGGAAGAAACCAGGAGTCAAAAAAAGCAGCCCTAGGAAGTCATAAAATCAGCAGCTTCTAGCTGCCAAATGCCAGAGCCCAAAGTGCTTTTCATTGCTGCTTGTTTGGAACAATTTTTTGGGATGTCAGGATGAGAGCAAAATTCTGGATTATGGGCGTGAGTGCTACGCTGGTGCAAGTTTTGCACATCAAGCCACCACAGACCCACAGATTATGGAGACAGAATCAGGCTGAAACCTGAAAACGTTTGGAAAGCCATGCTTGTTCCAGTACTTGGAAACACCGGTATCTTTATCCTTCTGCAATGAAGAGACGAAAGTACAACGACAGGTGATAGAATAGTTCAGGAAATTAACGCACGTGCTTATTTTCAGCATTGGAAGTTGCCATTCCAGACACAAAGGCAAATACTTTTCACTGTTTGGCAACAGGTTTGGGACACGCCTTGTGATGCTTCTGCCCCAAGAAACTCTGAGACAGCCCAACTACGCACGCCTCCAGAGAAGCTTCTGCTCCAGACTGCTGAGGTGAAATACTCTCTCCCTCTGTCTTAGCGCTCGCTAGGAAAGTGAATGAGTAACTTCATGATGCTTATTTTTGGACACCCCAAGAGAAGCCAGCAATACAGCCACGCAGATCAATCTTTCCCTGCCAGTGGCTATAAATGTTCCCTCTGGAACGCTCTCAACTCCTGCCAGCACAGTGATGGAAAAAACATGCTGAGATCAGCAGACCAGAAGCACCACCACGTTCTGGTGAGCCCTCCGTTGCCCCATCACCTAACTTAGTAAAAAAAAAAAAAAAAGGCATGTAAAAAGCATGTTATGGAAGTAATGCTTAACTGCACAGCTTCTTTTTATATAAGAGGATCATGTGGCAACAGAAACATCTGCACCCATCCCTGCTCCAGTGCCTATGGTTGTCCCAGGATGTTGCAGGGGAACATGGGCAGCCATCCCACAGTTTTTCAGCAGGCAGAAGCACCCATGTGACCAGTGCAGCCAGCAGCACGCCAGCAACATGCTCTGGGATGGTCTAACACACACAGGCCTGCAAGGAAGAAGTTTCAGCCAAAACACTGTCAAGGGATAGCTGAAGGGCTTGGTTAGCAAAAAAAAAAACACCAACAAAACACAACATCAAACAAAAACACTCCTGCAAATCAGCTACAGGAACAAAACTACATGCCATCCCCAGCAAGCCTTAGGGACATGCACGCACGTGCAAAATTCAGTCAAAGGTGCACAAAGGCCCAAATTGTACAAGATATGAAGGCACCCGAGTGACACAAATGCTTGTGCCTGACCACTGAAAAATCCTTTAAAATTGTAACACAGGCAGACAGAGCTATTACAGGCCTGGATTGTAATTATTTGGCACAGGGATGATTATCTAAAACCTTGAGTAGGTCATTTCGCAGGTCATTATTTTAACAATAGTCCCAGGTCTGCTGGATGACACACACAGAGGCATTAACTGCAGTAAATGTGTTTTGATGCTACTTTTACTATCATATATATTTAAATACAGCACTAATGTAGTATTTCACAGAAGTGCAACAAACACTACCCCTGGCTGTGAGTTATTTTTAAACTCTAACCCAAAAGATTCCTTTAAGTCATGCACTCGGATGAAACAATCAAGATCCTAGAAGTTAAAAGCCAGTTTACAGTTCTGTTGTGATATCCACAATAAAAAGACATCCTGGAACCAACCTGCTACACTGAAGAACAAGCAACGTCACATGGACAAATTCACATGTTAAAAGACAACCTAGATGAAGCCAGACAGCCTAATGCAATTCCTGGTTACAGTGCTAAATAAGATGACTGACTACTGAAACGGTCACGATGCAGGCTGGCTGTACTGTCAGTCCTGGCCCACCACAGTGTCACTGCCTAGGCTTAAAAACCAATTCTTGCTCAGAAATACTTCCAATAACTACTACATTGCAGTGTACTACATATTACAATCACAAGCCCTACAGTACTGTTAGCAAACAACAAAAACTTTAGGAAAACAACTGTATGCCTCACAGATAACGGACAAAAAAAGTTCTACTTAGAACAGTTTTTGGCTTCACATTCTTCACTGATTTTAGTTTTAAACAGAAGAGTGAAGATTGCTACCTTACACGTAAGCGCAGTTTTTGTTACCACACACAAGTGGATTCCTACACAGAGAGTAAGACTCTATAGCACAAAAAGGCTGTTGTTCCCTATATTTTCAGCTATGAATAAAGTACTGATAATTAAATGTTCCTTCCACTCCCTCTCTTTTAAGAAACCTATCTGTACTTGTTGGTTGGTGTACAAATAATGTTGGTTGAGCAATCTTATGTGAAATAAGGAAAAGCTCTCACTAAGCACTGTTGCTGCCTATCTAGCAAGAACTAAGGAATATCCTGGTAATTTACCATCACTGGAAACAGCAGCATCACAAAACTAAAACCCTACAATTTCTAACGTATTGCAAAACACTGGAAAACTGCAAAGTGAGTTTGTAAAAGCATTTTATTACTTCTCAGCTTCCAAATGCAAAGATTCTGTTGAGAAGAAAGTGGAGGGAGGAAAGGATAGGAAGGACAGAGTACTTGCTGAACTTCAATTTTCAAGCTATTCTGTGCAAGTTTCAGAGAAGGGGCTTGAGAAGACAGGGTTTGTGGGGTGGGGGGAGTGCGGCACTGGAAAGTCTGAACAACAATTGAAATCCACTACGTTTTTTGGCAAGTGGAAAATGGACTCCTAAGTTTAGAATGCTATTTTTATTAGAACTACTTTACATACCAGCAGATAACAAAGAAAAATATGGAAAAAGCAACTTTAAAAAGGGTCTGCATAAAAGTACAAGATTAAAGTCATTAAACAGTTGGAGCAAGAGACATTTCACAGGCTTATCTATACAGCAGCCTCTTCTGGTGACACCTAAAATACTTGTTTTATGCAGTTATCCTCTGAAACAAGTTGTCTCAGTGCTCTCTGATAACACAGCTGAGCCAATCTATTAACTCTCAGCTGGCAAAAAGATGTCAACCAGGATCAGCAACCTTCCTGTCATTCACGAGCTCCTGCCACTTCGCTCTTACCCAGGCTCTTCTGCTTACTGGACTACACAGTAATGCCGATTCAACTCACTAATGCAGCAGAAGGTTAACCTGATTGAAAGTCTCCTGGCAGCTGAAGCTGGACTGGTATATTACAGAGTGAACTGTGAGAGCCAGGGTATCCAGGCACAAGAAAGTAGGGCTGGGGCTGCCACTTTTGGCAGCGGCCAACCAATGAGTTCTGCCCTTTTATCTTGATTGTGCCGTTACGTTCTCCAGACTTCTTATGGGTCTGCCTCTTTTTCTACTGGGGAGATACACTAGTCTTACAACACATACTGAAGAATAACTAACGTAAAAAAATTAGTGAAAAAGGGTTGTCTTCGGGAACACTTCTTTTTTTAAAAGAACTGCAGAGTTGAAATGAGCCAGCCAGCCACCAAGTTTAACACTAGTTAGAATGTACTAACTTAAACATACTTTAACTGATTATAAACATATTCTGCCAAGACTTGACCACGATCTCCAAATCCTTTTGAACATATTAAACCTTGCCCAAGTGACTCAAGTCCATGATCAAGGTAAAAGCTTAGCATACCATTGGGGAACCGTAGAGCCAAATATCATCTCTTTCGCACTAGCACTCGGAAGGACCCCAGGGAATATCTTGACTGAAAAACTTAGTAAGTTACCCACAACCAGCCAACACACTGCTGTTCATTTTTATGGTTTTTCATTTTGCTGTTCATTTTTAGGAATCCACTGTAAGAAAACCTGGCTGCCCCCTGTACTCTGCCAAAAATTCCAGCTGCGCTAACATTTCCATGACAAAGCTACGTGCCAGGTATTAAAAAGAATTCTTCTTCGTGTTCAAAATTAATGACTAATGGACGGCAAAAGTTAACAGAATAAGTTGAATCAGAAAGACTGCTGTACACAATATATTAAAACTGTCAAGAGAGTTTAAAACCAATCAGGACACATTTTCCCTCCCATTAAAAACTCTTTACTAAAAGCCAAGTAAATAAACTACAGAATTATTTGTGTCTAAATCACAGAATATCAGAAGCAGTATCTGGTATTTCTACAGTCATTCTTTACAGCTATTTTAAGTGATCAAAAAGCTTTTCTGGCATGAGATCTCATACCTACCTTTAAACTAAATGGCAAAATTACCTGGATTTTTTTGTTTGAAATCAGATTTCCCCCAAACATTAAAAAAGCCCCTTTCCTAATGTAATTGAGACTGAAATCTCAAAAGGCATAGAAACACAGCAGCTGTCTACAAAATGTATGTATTGCGTTAACAAGTGGTACCTGACCATTTACAACAAAATTCTGCCTCTGGGGATTATATCTAAGATCTCTGGAAACCTTTACACTTAACTACAGAATAAAGACTCATGCAGCTTGTATAGATTTCAACAAATACATATACATACCTATACTGGAGGTATAATCGGTGGCTCCAAAGATCAACTCTGGTGCCCTGTAGTACCGAGAGCAGATGTATGAGACATTAGGTTCTCCACGAACCAGCTGTTTTGCACTGAGAAGGAAACAAAACAATAATCTTTCAGCAATTAATAGTTTTACAATATTGCTGTGCAGACCAACATTAAGCTTTGGCACCCTTCACTCATCGCCAATTCCTAAATGCTAAAGTACCATGTTCTTATAAGCTGATGCAAGCCACAGACTCAATGATTTACCGTGACACCAGTCCAATCCACCAAGCAGCTACCTTATACAGGACATAAAGAAAATTCTGACTACAGTCTATGTGGTAAATTGGGTCAACTTTTGGATGGCAGCTGTCTTTTGCCAGGTACAAAGGTTTGTTTACAAAGAAAGTGGACAGACCATGGCTCAGTCAAAAGTAGTTACCTTTTAAGGGTCAAAAGCTCTCAATACTCACCAGAAGTGACAGGGTTTTTTTGTTTGTTTGTGTTTTTTGTTTTGTTTTGTTTTAAATTTTCAGAGTATTCTGGCTCTTCGCTGTTTAAAGGAGCGTGGTATGCAGGAAAAGGGGTATGAGGAGACAAAGGAAACACACTTTGCCGTTGTAGTCACATATTTATGGTCCATGATTAACATGGAGGCTTCATTTGTACTGTAAAATATCAGCCTCAAAGGATCTAACCTACAGTATTGCCCCAACCACTACCTTTGGAAGAACCTAAGAAAATAAAGGAACACGACAGCACACTACTTTTGGAACATGAATCTGTGAACATATTATAATTCTTTCTTAATTAACACCAAGAGTTAGACAGAAAGGAGCTAGAAGACAAAACTGCCCTTTCAGAAATAACTAAGTAGCACCAAACTCAGCAGAGTGTCAAGCCAAGCAAATCCAGCGTTCAGCCTTCCAGACACTCCTCTCAGCCTTCAGGGAAGAAGGACTCCCACCACCCATTTAGCCCGTTTTAAAAAGTCTCAGTTTTCTGTTTTCTATATAGAAGCTACAATTAAATTCTCACTGTTAACACAGAGGAAGTACCACCTTTTTATGCACTCTTACTTTTGAGCTTCAGTGCAGTTCCTACTTTGCTTCAATACTGGTGAGGTAGAGCTGAGGAGGAGATTCCCAAGCCACCAGGCATGACGATGCACTGCTTGAACAACCACCATCTGACATTCCCACTCACTACGGGCAAGCGAATTTAGCAACAGCAGCTTCCGTGACCTCTTGCACATATGCCCTAACTATTTTAGTCTGCAGAGTTATAGCACAATCTACAGACTGAACTTTCCTGGAGAGAAATGTGTCTACTGTCTCAGTGTGCACTCCCAGAATTTCTGTATCAGTTCTAAGATGGGGGCTGGACTCTAAAGGCAATTCACTTGAACAGATACTGGAAATAAATGTGCCATTGGAAACCAGGATACAGAAAAGCTTCAATTAGAAGTGTTGCTTCTGATCTTAAGCCTCTACAGTATTTCAAATATTAAGTGAACTCGTGTACATACAAGTAGACTAATAAAGTATAACGTTAGCCTTTTTAGGTTACTATGCCACTGCACCTGTCCTCTCTTCCCCAAACACGTTTCACCCTGATGTCTGGTTGTGTTTTTCCATGGCGCAGTATTTTCCTTATGTGACAGCATATTTTATTTTTCTAGTACAGGCTTGAACTTTAATTCCCTCCCTCTTGATATCCTTTTCCAGCTCTTTCCCCCCCTGCCCCATATGAACTCATTTTAAGAGGAAAAATACAATATCAATAGTTTCTCTTTCAAAACTACAAGCGAAGACCCTCTGAAGAACACAGAGGATTTCTTTGCAAAGTTGCACCAGGTTCACTTTGAAGGAAGCTCTTTTCACCAGGTTTCAAGCCACAGACGCGCTTACCTTCCGAAGTCGCAGAGTTTTAGAACAGCTGTATCAGGGTCCAGCAAGAGGTTCTGTGGTTTTATATCCCGGTGGCAGATCCCAAAGGAATGGATATAGGCTAAACTCCGGAACAGCTGGTACATGTACAACTGGAACACAGAAACATTGCATAAGGCATGCGTTCCCAGTCAAAACAGGGTAGACAATTAATTTAACACGAAGTCTTATGAGAAAAACAAAATTACTCCAAAAAGACTCTACTGAATTCACATTAATGCTGTGAAGATGGGCAAGGTGTTTACATACCTTTCCCACCCCACCCTTTGCCACATACTCACACATGAAGTTCAAATTTGTTCATTTGTCCTTTCAAAAAAAGAGCACAATTCCGAAAAAGTAATTGTGCCAGCTTTCCAACATTTATAAAGAATGGTAGTCACAAAAAAACATACACAAAGGTGTGTGTTTGCTTTATAAATCAGCCCCATCATAGAAATGAAGTATTCCAAGCTATTAGAAAACCCCCAAAAATAACGCCTCCCCCAAAGAAAACCCTTTAGTTGATGAAGTTATCAACAACATATTAAATGTTGCCCAAGGACTACGGTAGTGTCTCAGCCTGTCACTTGAGTGAATCTCCCAGTTTCTCTTGGTGAGGGGAAAGACTCCTTTTAATTTCAAATCTCTGGGCAAAAAGAGAAGGCAGATAAAAACAACTGTTCAGAGTAATTTTATGCAAGGCGCAGCAAACAATTACGCTGAGGGACAGTTTTCTCTGTCCTCTTTCCAAGGCTGGCTAACCCTTCAGCAAGGAGGAATATAGCAAGGGAAGATGTTAGGAAGCCAAAAGCTTCACAGGGCACAAATACAAGGCATGGGGAGGATGTCCAGCTACTGGAGCTACAGTTTTCACTATAGAGAATAAAGAGCTGCTGGATACAATTAAGGCTGTATAGCATATCATAAAGGCACGGAAAGCCCTTTTTCAAGACTGATAACAGGCTGTCAGGTTACTAGTTATCTTTGTTATGTCCTTCACAAGGTTCCATTTAAAAATCAAGCTACAGGCAGGACACTGTACCAGATAGGTACCTCCGCACTTTCCTTTTCTAAGCACATTCTCCACAGTTCATCTTTAACGGTCTGTAAAACCGGGTGCAATTGCTAGATATTGGTATCAGGTCATGTTCGCCTCACTTTCACCACTATCTTTGTCTTTACAGTTTCTCTCTCCCTTGTTTTTTGTTGTTCGTTTGGTGGGGAAAGTAGAGGCAGGAGGAGAATCGCTTGGATTTTGGCTCTAGGTCTTTAGTTTGTTTCTCAAAACCACAACTCTGCAAAAAGCAAAGCAAACAAACATGTTTTCCAAACTGCCTGTTCTAGACACATTAAGTATGCATTGTGCAAGTGTATTGCAAAATAATGCAAAAGATTGTTCTAACTTGAGGAGTCAAGTCAACACATGCAGGATTTAGAAAGTATGCCTTTCATCTCCATACAAAACCCGCAAAATTTCCAAGGATTTCTTAACATGTTAGAAGTTACAAATAAAAATTGACAAAAAGATTAGCAGAAAAGCTTTCCTGCAGTTCCTTAACAGTTCCTTTGTTGTCCATGGAAGAGCAGCTCTCTACTTGCCTAGGTATCAATCAGAAGCGAACAAATAGGTATGATCTGACCTTTGTGTAGCCAAGATGCCCGGAAAATTGCAAAAGCCTTAATGACATCAAGGTAACACGATCTTTTTAAACACAGGATTATGAGAAAGGCTTGCCTTGCCAGAAAAGAATAGTCTTCCAGGCTACCTGGAACAGGAAGTCCCAAGCATCTGGCAAGATGAAAGAGTTGAAGCAGAATTTTCTCTCAAAGTATAAATAAAGATAATTTTTCCCAAGTTCTCATAATGAAGAGCAATTAGGGCAAGAGCACTGACAAAAGATATATAAACAATTTATCAAAAATTAAGCTGACAGATTTTAGGGCTGAAGACATGCTGTTCCACCAACACACCACAGTGACCTTGCAGTAGAAATTGTTACCATTGGATGATAAAATTCAGTGCTTGCTTAAAAACAGGCTGTTGTAGAGACATGCCATTTACAATTTATGCATATACAGTTAGGGCACAACGCTTTGTTATTGGAATAATTACTATTTGTACCTTTCACCTTTGTAACTTGCATCTTCTTTCAATCAAGTAAAAGTTTGTTCCTAAGCCCACCCTCATGTTAAGCATTACACTTTTAAAGACAAGTCTGGAGAAATCAATATGAATCAGGAATATTTGTTGCTAATTTTCATTTAATGTTACCTGGATACCATGTTAACCAGTTAATGTCACGTGAAAACATGATCATTCACTAGGGTGTGGATTGGGGTCATCACAATATATGAAATAGAACTACGAGACCCAGATGGGTCCCCTGTTTGGCAAAAAAAAAAAAAAAAAAATTATTCGTTTTAACCACTCTGTAAAAGATGACAAAAGACGCAGACAACTTAAGTGAGGTTTTGAGGCTACAATGTGCATACAAGCATCTTGCCCCATGCTCTTTAAGAGAAGAACAAATGGGCTACAAGTGGGGGAAAAAAACCCCATGCCTTTCATGCCCACAATAGATGCACATGAACTCTTACTCATATGCCAGGGAAAGGGGAAGATAACAGATAAGAGAACACTATTCTTCCTGACATCTTTCAGTTCCTGACCTTTGTACTATTGTGTCTTCATCTCAGGAAACTGAAGCTGCTAATCTGGCTGGTGTCAGTCTCTACCTAAGCTGCTTCAAAAACAAACCACTGCCCTCACACTTGGTCTCCCCCACCTATTCCAAGATTTTTGTAAAGTGAGAAATCGGAAGTGCTTGCTTTAAGGCTCTACTCTTCCTTTGCCCTAATAAATAATCATTCTAATTTTTTTTTCCTTGCCTCAAGATGTATATTCTCCTAAAAATTTCAGAAAACTAATTATGTCAGAAAAGAGGTATCCACAGAGGCTATTCCTATAATACCCTTCATCATCTAACCACATCTATTGGGTACCTACCTTGACATAAATCATAGGGAGTGTCTGTTTGGCCCGACTATAATGTCTGGCAACTCTGTATACTGTTTCAGGAACATAGTCCAGCACCAAGTTGAGGTACACCTCATCTTTCTGAAAGAGAACAGAGAAGGAAAAAAAAAAGTCAGCAATAGATCTGAAGCACAAAATACAATTAAAGTATTCAGAGAAGCCAACAGGATGAGAAAGCCACGGACATTTTAAGTATACATCTTTAGTGGAAGTGTGAACTGCTGCCAAACTTTTTCCTTTAGGCTTTGCACTTGTGCACTAATACTTAAGTCAAACTTTTATTTAAAGTCACATTAATTAAATATGGTCTCCAACATAGGCATTTTCTGACTATAAATGGGGACAAGTATATAATTGTTTTTTCCAGTCAATATTTTCATTAGAAGCTATTTATTTCAAGGTGACATCTGCATCATTATTTAAAGCAGCCTGTTAACTCATTAGTTCCTTACCCAGCAAAACTCAAGAAATGCAAATTTAAGTCCTAAACTCACCCCTCAACAACTACACATCAAAAAAGTTTAAACACCCTGCATCTTTTAGGAATGTTACTTTGATCTTACTGAATTTGTGACTATTAAGGGATGTATAATACATATTAACCATTCATAGACCGTAAGCCAGTGATAACATTTGTAACCATTCTGTTTACATGTATTTTGATGTCCCAGTTATCTCCAGCTTGAACATATGAGCTTATTCATGGCAAAACAGAACAAGCCAAAACCAGAGAGTCAAGTATCACTTAACATCTAGGATCAGGTTAGAGGTCAGAGTGAACATAACACAGAGAAGCAACAAAAGTAGCTTTATAATAAAGCACTTTGTTACAGAATACATTAGCAAACGAAAGAAGGAACAAAGAGGAATTAAATGACAAAGTACTATAATCACGTAGTGCCTAATTGTGGAACTGAGAATTTTCAGAGTAAAACAGGTCTTAGAAAGACTTCTGATATTTTAATATAGTCTTCTGTGCAGATCTTATCAGGACTGTGTGAATACATTTAACGTTAGGGCACCGGGGGGTGGGTATAATTAACTATATCAACCTGAACAATTATTTTTGAAAGCTAGGTGAATTAACCAGAAGAAACCTCTCCTGCGCTTGCTGTATTAACAGCTAGATCTTTCTACAGAAAAAGACAGTACATAGAGACTTTAGATGGATGGAAACAGTACAGAACTCCCAGGTCTTCAACTGGAGTCCCTTGTCAGCAGGTCCACTTGGCTATGTATCTTAATACCCCAAAAATAAACCTCATTTAGCTATAGCAATTTAATAACATTACTGTGACTTAACACATCACTTCAAGCACCGAGTATGGTGTGTTACTCACAGTTTTCATTACCTGTCTCTGTCCTGCCTCAGAAAAGAGCAAAGAAATGGCAGATGGTACCACACACAGAAATACACACCTCGAATACCCAATATGCAAGTAACTGCTGGTTTTGTGTGTGGTTAAAGACTCAGAATTCCAGATCTCTGTTCACCATTCTTTGGTAATAAATGCTTGTCTTTTAAGGACATTTTAATAGCGCTTACCAATACTTCCCAATAGGCCAAGTCACCTTGCAAAGCCCTCCCTACATCACTCTTCCCTACCAAAAGATGCCCTTTTTTAACATTGTTGCTTAAATGACAGTGGGAATAGCACCAGCACTAAGCAAATGCCAATGGCCCATTAACTTGTAGCTGCTCTCATGGTACTTCTGCAACATAGACAGGAGCAGCCGCCTCTGAAACCCTGCCTACACTGGTGCCGCACATCCCAGTGCCAACCCAGGAACTGGGTAACACCATGAAGGAACCTGGAGACCAGGCTGAAGAACAAACTTTTTTGAAATGAACGAGGAAGGACAGCTACCAGCAGTGCAGAGGAAGTACCAGACAGCTCTGGAACTCCACAGATGTGCAAACGTATGCAAGAAAAGGACCTATTTGTATTTTAGCACTTCCCTTTCTGCAACAAGAGAAGTTCTTCTTTCCTTGACTCTCACTTCAAGCCAATAGAAGTCCACCACCACCTTATCTTGGGTCAGAGCTTTCAAGGAATTAATTACAAAATGCAGAAAATAAGTGTCCTGAAAAATCAAAATTAACTTATGCCTGGTAAGGCAATCTGTATGCCAAGAGAGAAAACAGTCTCATGAATATGAGTTCTACTTCATTCAATGCAGATACAACCTGATGAATATGTTGACTGCTTGCCTCTTGGAAGATGGGAAAGTCTTATTGGTAACAAGTCACTGGACAGAGTACTCTGTTACTGAGGTTAATTACTTTCATTCAAGGATTCACGTTGCATGTATCAAAGACTTACATGAGAGATTAGAGAGACAGAAAAAAAATGACCAGAAATGGAACAACAGTGATTTCATTATTCTCTCATAGTACAAGCAAAAGGAGACATGTAAAATAGTAATACGTATGTTCATTAAACCCTGTCTATACTACTGCACAACAGTGGGTTTTGAGAATTACCAAACTATTTAGTTCATACCACCTTTGCTTCACTTTTCTCTCCTCCATTTTTATTATTTTTATTTTATGTTCTGTTGGAAACGGTACTAATTCGATGGCATGGCATGACACAACCACAAAAAACCTCAAGGCACCTGAATCATGGAGATGGAAGTTTTGCACTCACCCACCAATTTGTATGAGTTTTGATGCTACCCACAGTACTTGAACAAACATGGGTTTTTTGTGGTATTGCTCATGTGTAAATACATATCACACATTATCACCTAGAAAAAAGGCACACAAAAACTTTTCCCCAGCCAACTAAAAAGTTTTGAGGCACCATTTGATGTACCCAGAACTTTAATATGCAACTGTAAAGGCAAGGCTTATGGTGTTGGCTATATAAGTAGATGCACATTCTACTCCTACGACAAGCAACTGACATTCTGAAGTGCTCTAAACGACTGCTTTCATGAATTAAGGATGATTCAAGTGTTCTGACCTACCTCCTTCTGGTGTCACCTGGTCCAAGTCTGATAAACACTCAGAATATGGTTTTCAAGAGCCCTCATCCTTCTCTGTGAGCATGAACTGGATGAAAACAACGTCCAGGTTACCTGGATTCCCCTGAACAACATTCAGGATGAGCTAGAAAGCAGTCATGGCCTGACAAGCTCTGAGGATGATGTAACCTGGTCTGCCTACCTCATGCATTCCTCCTAAACACATATTTTTCCAGTGACCCAGATGTATTGCAATAGGAAACAGGGTTAGCGCAAAGAGCTTGTAAAATGAGGGCAACTGCTTGAGGATCAAGCGGCAGGATCAAGGCTTATCTTTCCATTACAGGAAGCCTTTTTCAAACCCCACCATATATTCTACACGTGACTTGTTCCAACACTGCTGTTTCAAAATTGTTGGACTGGGAACAAACCAAGGTAACCTAACAGTCAGAAGCACCTCTGAAACCCCTCTACAGAGAACAGAAAAGTCCAGAGGAGACTATATCATATAAATGACAGAAAGCAAACATAAGACGTCATTAAATAACTCACTTTTCCTTAGAGACCTTGGGATTGAATAGATTATTAGTTTTCCTCAGCAGGTCAAGTGTTTATGTGTGTGCATGTTCTCCTGTGCTTGCTGCTAAGGTTATGACCATAATCTTAAAATAAAAAAGAGGGAGGGCAGGAAGCCAGATCCTGAAACACAGGATCAATGTATTTCATTAGGATTTTGACTTTAGCAATGCAACTCATGTACCTGCAATTGCCTGAAACGTTAGAAGCTACTTTTTGGCAGATAAATCCTCAGCTGACAAATACTGCTCCAAACAAGCCACAGTAAAGTAACCACCAGTTTGCCATTGAACCCCCCTACACCCCTCAAGAAAAAAGAATTCAGGCACCACTTCACTTCAGCTGGAAACACTTCACAGAAGTAAATACTAATGCAGACTACGCCATAATAAGAGGCATGAGAAAGACTAGGACACAAGAGCCAAAACATTCTAGTAACTTAGGCTTTTTTTTTTGTATCAGAAATTGGAGATAAACAGGCTGCAAGTGCAACCACTCTAGCACACGAGCATTGCACATTATGGAGCTGAAGACTGAGCAAAATTGAAAACATTACCTTAGAAATGTCTGCATAGATGTCTCAAACTCCACTTTTAAAGCTCTTTCTCTCTTTCAATCCATACAAACAATCTTTTTAAGCACCAGCCAGTTGAGCTTAACTGTGGCCAATCTAAAGTAGCAGCTACTGAATTCAAAGACTCACTCTTCAGGATTGTTCCTTGCAGGCAAAGTACAAATGTTCCTCCTCTATGATCCTCCCCCACTTCAAACAAACCCCAAACTAATCCTGAGTGCTTTCTACCAGCTTTCGTTAACTTTTTTCATAGATCACACACACTACATTTACAACATGCATGTATAAAACTGCAATCAATATTAGTCAGTCACAGTCCAACTATTTCCCCTATTTAGCACCAACATAATGATAGAAGCCGGGGGGGTGATACACACCAAATGCCAGACTAAGGGCAAAAGGAAAAAAAAAGTCACAGGGCATACTCTGAAGAGTATGTCAGCATCTACTAAGATGTGAGAAGATCTCCTGAACTGTCAGTCATATCTGGAATCTAAGGAAAATTTCCCTGAGTATCAAGTAATAGGATAAAGTTTAAGAAACTGTTCTGGGCGATTTCTTCTCGGGTGACTAAATTTACTGGTCAGCATTTGGGAAAAGTGATGAATATGATCATTTCACTTTTCATCTCCTGGCAGGTCAGTAACAGTGTGGTGGTGGTTCTGCTGTGGTTTGTGGGTGTTTTCTTGTTTTTATACCTTTTTTTAATCCCAGATCATTGAGCTAGTTTTCAGATGGACTCCATGTGATCAGTTGTATAAGCACAGCTAAGAGAGATTAACAATATAGGAGTTTCTTAAACTAACTTTGAATTTGGAGAAACAAATGTGGAATTGCACTCTGAAGAAGCTCACTTTACCTGCCTATTCAAGCTAAAAGCACACAAATAAGCAATAAACTTAAAATTAAGGAATATGCCTCTAGAATGTACTTATTGAAATTATCCTAAGGCATCAGTATC